TTCGTGATTTCGGTCACGGCCGAGTATCGCTTCGTCAGATCAGTGGAAATTTGCATCAAGTTCAAAGGTTTGTTTTTGGGCTGAAAGTAGACAACCCATGGCCCAGTCGAGTCATCTGGATAGGCTCGCGATCGGGGGCTTTTCTGAGACGAACCATGAATGACAGGACGTTTTCGTCTATTCTTGCCATCGAGTGGCAAACTGGTGTCATCTTCCGACAAAATGTCCATATCGTCTTCTGACGAGACGTCCATTTTGCCGTACTAGTGGGAGCGGTAAACGCTCTACCACTGAAACGATGCTTAAAACCACACAGACACAATAAACAGAAAAAAACTACAAACCCAGAAACACAAAATTAAATTTAACTGATGGGCGAGAGAAAGAAACAGGAAAAAAAACTTATCTGCTATACTACTACCACCGAGTGATTACACAGCAGCAGCGGAGCGACGCGCAGCGTGGGTGACCTTCGATGCGCGTGTGCGGGCGATCTTTGTAGTGGTGTGCTTGTATTAGGCTCGGCACTCAGCTGGACACACGATGATGGATGACCGGTATAAATGCGGAGGCAGATGCTGACACTCGATGACGATGATCTGTGTGCCGGTATGCGTGATCACGCACCGATGGTGCGCAAAATGGTTGGCGAATTGGCAATCGCAAAAACAATTTTCCTTCCGATGATGCCGAAAACACACTTTCTTCTCAGAAAAAACTCACTTTCAGATAATTGTTTAGCCGGGTACTATGCCAGTAATCACTAAGCGAGAAAAAACTGATAATTTAAACCAACCGAATACCGAGAAAACTTCCAAAATGTATTTGACTTTAAATGCTCTTATTTTGAGAGTCCTGAAAATTATGTATCACATGAGATATGAAAAAATACATTTTCTGAATGAATTTTATAAAAAAATGCACAAGAGAACGCAAAATGTTATTTATTATTCAAAATGTACACCAAATACATTAATTCCTCGGAATATCTCAGAGAAACAAATACAGCAAACCTATTCTGTTGCTTTCTACAATTTAAAAAATGCTCAATTTTGATCAAACTTGAGATTTAAATTGGGAAAAGTTTCTAACATTTCCTTTTGACCTACTGCATCACGCTTACCTACAAGCCTGTGTATGAGTTTATACACGCAAACCAAAAATCTATTACAATGAATGTTAGTTCCAGTTCCTATCATCCTCTGTTCATGAACATCGCAACGAATGTTAGGAATTGACCATGCAGGCGATGTAATGGTTTTTTGTCTTTTTTTATTTCGTGTTTCATCTACGCTTTCGACTATACCAGTAAGCTTGTAGAACGACGCACATTGTAGAACATTGTAGAACGACGCACACACTTGTCTCGAATCTCTCCAGCAGAAAAAGCATACGAAGTCGAGCATTTTTATTTCGTCTTCCATCTACGCTTTCGACTATACCAGTAAGCTTGTAGAACAACGACGCACATTGTAGAACATTGTAGAACGACGCACACACTTGCCTCGAATCTCTCCAGCAGAAAAAGCATACGAAGTCAAGTGTGAGAGGAAATGAGTGCTTCTTGTTTGCTTTTAGGCTACCCATATTCAGAAGCATGGAGAGAGCAGTGGAGAAAGCACAGGTCTGATAGTCGCAACGTCCGTGGTTCGAGTCCAGTCGGCAACCTTTTTTCTATTTTTTTCGACATAACTAATTTCACTCACTAATACAACTCCACATTTTTCGGTCTCCAATTTTCTTACATCGGACCGCAGCTAGGTATATCGCATCCTCGGTTCATGCGGTCTCCACTTACATCCTCTGATGATGAATCCCACATAATTGTAAGCGAATCTTACATCCACCGGTTGGGTGTAGGCATGCACGGCGCACTTAGATCCGTTTTCCATATATTTGTCTATACAAATTTTAAAGACAAATGCAGATCATAACGCAACTAATTATAAATTGGCACAGTTGTTGGGGAAGAAGATCGAAAGAACTATTCAAACTTGACTCACCTTAATGTACGTATTAGAATTATATGAGCTGCATTTGTTTAAATAAAATAAATTGAGATATTTTGAGGAATTAAAGTTTATTGGATGAAATTTTGCGTTCACTTGCACATTCATTCAGAAAATCATGCTTTTTTTCAAATTTCATGCGATATTTATTCTTCAGTACTCTAAAAAAATAGTATTGATATGGAAACTATTGAATTGATCAGCACCGATCGATGAAAAATTATATTGCCAGTTCACAGAAATTTAAGCATTCTTAGATTTTTCAGAAAGAATAAGAAGAAACAACCGTAGCTATCATTAATTCCAAACACTGACACAAAAACATATTATTTAATTAATTGTAGTCTCCGAACTTCTATAAAATTAAGGTCTGGTCAAAATAAATTCTTCTGAGATACGTTCTGGCACAGGTTCTGGCATATTTGAAATAACTAATCACTGGAACTGATTCTTAAACCTCATGAGTTTTAGAGTAACATATATCAAGAGCCACATGTGAAAAGGGCATACAAGCTTTTTGTAAACAAACCTTTGTAGGCCCTTTTCTCGCCAACCGAGAGTTGCCCACGCAAACCAACAATATCATCGGAAAGGGTAAAGATTCCCCTACCCGATGATGATGATGGTTTGCGTTGGTGTCATATGGGTGGCGAGAAAAGGGCATAAGAAGGTTTGTTTACAAAAAAGCTTGTATGCCACTTTCACATGTTGTTCTTGATATCGTGTATTAATAGCACGTTTAAGGACAAAACATACTTCCACAGACCCGCTAGATTTGGTTGAAGACTTCAAACGTGTTGAGTATAGCTGGATCGATATACAAATTTATCCGGTTACCTAATTGGACTTCCGGTATATTTTAAGGCATGATTGCTGGGTTGAACAGCCGGCGGCTTGGCTCGATTATAGACTGCATCAATATAACGTGATGCAGTCTATAATCGAGCTGACAATCCAGCCGCCGGCCGTTCAACCCACCAATCATGCCTTAAAATATACTGATGTTTAACCCTTGATTTTCTTCATCCCAAATTGGGGATGACACAGCTGTAATGCTACACCCAACCGGTGGATGTAAGATTCGCTTACAATTATGTGGGATTCATCATCAGAGGATGTAAGTGGAGACCGCATGAACCGAGGATGCGATATACCTAGCTGCGGTCCAATGCAAGAAAATTGGAGACCGAAAAATGTAGAGTGTATTAGTGAGGTAAATTTATTGTGTCGAAAAAAAAAAATAGGAATTTGGTTGCCGACTGGAACTCGAACCACGAACGTTGCGATTATCAGACCTGTGCTTTCTCCACTGCTCTCTCCATGCTCCTGAATATGGATAGCCTAAAAGCAAACATGAAGCGTTCATTTTCTCGCATACTCGACTTCGTATGCTTTTTCTGCTGGAGAGATTCGAGGCAAGTGTGTGCGTCGTTCTACAATGTTCTACAATGTGCGTCGTTCTACAAGCTTACTGGTATAGTCGAAAGCGTAGATAGAACACGAAATGAAAAAGACAAAAAACCATTACGGAACTAACATTCATTGTAGAGGCATTCGAGGCAAGTGTGTGCGTCGTTCTACAATGTTCTACAACGTGCGTCGTTCTACAATCTTACTGGTATAGTCGAAATATCCACGCTAACACGACATAAAAAAAAGACAAAAACCCATTACATCGCTTGCATGGTCAATTCCTAACATTCGTTGCGATGTTCATGAACAGAGGATGATAGGAAACGGAACTAACATTTATTGTAATAGATTTTTGGTTTGCGTGATAAATCTACTCACAAACTACATGTTTCTTCGATTTTGACTTCGAACTTTCATTTGTTTTATTATTGTTTTGTCATGTGACGATTGTCAATTTTGGTTGTCAAATCTGACGCCAAATGCCAAGTTTTCTCTGAATTGGAAATAATCGTTCAAAATATAATTCTAAAAACGTGAATTTCAGGCAATATTGATAAAACTTCGTATGTCTCAGTTGTTTGACGAGCTTGTATGTCCTGGGCAACTTTTCATAAAATCTTGTGAAATAAAAAATCGCTGTATCACTGCGCCATCTTTGCGACCAAAACCTGAACTTTTTTTATCCACCAAATGGTAGTCCTAATTAATCCAAGAAACTTCACTAGACGTCAACTCGATTGGATGCAATCCCAGAGCGTTTTTTATGTTATTATTACCAAAAACGAAAAACTATTGTTTTATAATTGCTGAAGAAGAATTTCAGCAAAATTGGTTTTAAATTCTTATACATAATATTTACAGTGGTGGCCTTTAAATTAGCACAATAGGCCGATTTTCAGACAAACTACACAACTTTGGCATGTTGTTTCGGAAATGACCATATCGTCAATTAATTTCTTAAGCACGCTGTCGTTTATTGGTAATATGGTTGAAAATTTTAAACCTATAACACTTCGGAAATTTCGGATTATAAATGTGTTAATTAGTTGGCCATTGTCAGTCAATTTCCGGTAAACGCTTCCAATAATTTGATATTAAGTACACGCAAAAGTCAGCATATGTAGTTTTGTGTCAAAATTTCAGCTCAATTGATCATAACAAAACAATGTTGCAACATGCCATACTTGGCTAGTTTGTACGAAAATCGGCATATTGTGCTAATTTAATGGTCACCACTATATATCTGCCTACAGAAGATTAAATTTCTTTTCAAAACTAAACTTTTTTTAAACTATCTTCAATGCCCGTTAGTTGCTGTTTTCCCATAAAATTTCTCTTCATTAGATAATAATCAATACAAACTCCCACATTCTAGTGAAAATCAGATATTTTTTTTTAATATTTGTGTCACATAAGCCCATGATCGCACTTAAACTCATTTTAGTGATTATTTGTTGTAAATAGTAACTGGCTCAATGGGGTTGGTTACGGGACAATCTTTAAAAGCCAGATGATCGACAGGACAAAAGTTCGAAAGAACCTTTCGATCTTTTGTCATAGATTCCAACATCTACTCACAGTTCCAGTATCACATAGACCTTATTCTCATAGTCGAACGCATCGAACAGCTGGATCAACCGAGGATGGTGCAGGCAGCTCATGATATCGATCTCCCGCATCGCGTCGGTACGTTCCTTCTTCTTCTGGCAGGCCACTATTTTGGCCGCCAGCTCCAGACCGCTGGACTTCTCCCGACACATGAACACCGTTCCGAACGTTCCCCGGCCCAGCTCCGGCAGGATGTCAAACTTCTGCCGCGGATCGACATTCTCCCTCAGCGCCACCTGTCGGTAGGGGAATGCCGGCTCGAGCTCTGCAATGAAGAATAAGAAAACGGGCGTTGTTTGGTTAGACCGAATGGAACAGATTGTCTCCTGTCTCTGAGCTGCTGAGAAAAGGGGAAAGGAGAAACAAATTGGACCATTTGATTGCAGATTTTATGGGTTCGGTGTAAACAAATAGCAATCGGTTGAACAACGCCGATTGACTGCATTCACCACTTTTGCACCATATGTCGATCGTTCGTTCGGTGCGTGGTCCCAAGCAAGTGGTTGATCTTGGCTCCCGGATGGTTTTATGACTTTGGGGAAATGCTGGGACGGGGCGGGGATGCGATTGACGGATTAATGGTGTTTTATTTAAAGAGTGAGAGAGAGTTGAAGAGTTTGCCTTGGCGGAGTTCGGTCGGCCGTCGTTGAAAGCAGTAATGGAATACACGATCCGGTGTGACGTGTAGTCTCCAAGATGGTCTACCAGGAGCGCACAATGCGGCACATGGACTGTAAATAAACAGAGTTCGCCTCGCGTGTATTGAATCGCATGGCGGGTTTTTCTCCGGACCGGTATCGGTTTGCGCGTGATTTACGTACCTTCTCATCAGGGGAAGAGTTATTTTCGAACATGAGTGAGTAGGCAGTAAATTTTGCAAACGACAAGTTCGGAAACGCTTAACGACTGGTGGTGGTCAATGACTTGTTTTAAATAGATTGCAAAAACCGATTCATTTCGCCGACCTTGTTTGGCTGGTTCTGTTGGTTTTAAGTGAAGTTGAGATGAGCTTATGAAAAATGAGAGTTTTCCTTTTTCTACGTTTATTTACTTTGCATGACATGGGTGTAAACAGTTTAGAGCATTCATTTTCGCATATACGGAATCCGTGTCCGGGGAGCTCAACCAGGGGAATGTAAACAAATGGTATAGTATTTATTTTTATGTCTTTTGCCTGAACTTGAAATCTGTTATGATAGGAATGTGATGGAATTCAATTATGCTGATTCGTTCGTAGCTCTGCTGACCAAAATATTTTTTCGTCCAAATATTTCTGCACATTTCAAGGTTTCCAGCACCAAGCTGCCAACAACGTTGCTCTTTTTAATTTAATTGATTTGAATATACATCAGGAGAACACGCATTACTGTTGAAAGTCTGTAGTCACTTCACCCAGAACGCTATCATACCCAAATTCAGAAAGTCAACCTGCTGTAGATGGTGTTTGTTGTGGCATCCTTAATGAGCCCGGTTCAGTGGTAGAATAACATGACCCTATCGGGAAAGCTGTTTAAGATAAGATCAAAATTGAACAACTGGTGATCACATGCAGCACTCAAAAATGCGGTTTCCACTGGATTGACCTATTGTACCTCTCACAATGCTAAGTCGCCATGATAGCACGATATTGAAATTCTTGTAATAGCCCTGGGGAATCGTAATACTCCAACATTGGATGTCTCGTGCTTTGATTTACTTTTAGTATAATTTTCCATCGTTCCGCAAGGCTACGAACAACAAAGTCCCTCTCAAAAAAGTAAACAAAATTCAACAATCGTGCTACACAAACCTATAAATTATTCATCCTCAGCTGTAAACGCCCACCACCAGCGCAACCGGCAGTCAGATGTTACAAATAAGCTTCTACGACATAGATATAACGAGCATTACTTTCCTATGTTCTCACCAGTCGAAAGCGGTAAAATCAGCATTCAACATCGAAAGACGACGACGACGACGACGATCGGTCACACAGGGAAAGACCTCGAAAAAGGAATCGAATCGGAACGGGCCAAAGATCGCGTGTTTCGCATCGTTTTGGCAACCTCTTCCATTCTTCTCGCGGTTTTCGGGCACACTATAGATACATTCACTGGCGGTAGTTCTGGCGATCAACGACGACGACGCCGGCAACGATGATCATCATCATCTATCTAATCTACCTACCTTAGGCATCGAACAGTGCACAGTGGGGCAAAGCTAGTTGTAATTGATTTTTGTTTTCATGAATTATTATTTTTTTATAATATTGTTATCAGATTCTCGGAAAAATCAGCAAAAAATTCGGGATAATCCGTCAAGAATTGAATTTCGTGCACAGTGGTAAGGATGGAAATTCATTGAAAAACAGTAAAATTTTTACCAAGGCATGACAGATTGATCTTTCATGAAATTACAATGAAATGACCTAAAATCCGTTATAAGCTTTGTTTACCTTAGCTATTATATTGCTGAATAGCTATTTTACATTGAACATTATTTGTGGGCATCTATAACTAACATGCGTCCAATTGCGTCAATATTGGGTTTTTATTTGTTTTATTTGCCAACGTCTTCAGCTGTAGATACTAGTACAAAAAACATAACTATCTAACTAGCGTCTTAAACTTATTTTTTGATACATTATAGCCGAACTGACAGCTTACTTCATTTAATCTTCTGAGGCATCTTTGTAACGGATGATTGTCGGCGACGACTGTTCGCTGCCTTGGAATCCACAGAAGCTGTCGTTGTGGAGAGATGTGAGCAGGAACATAAAAGTTTATTTGTTACAGAAGATGTAAGCGGCTACTTAATACGTCAAATGCAAACAATCTCTGCAAGGAAACCTTGCGCTGGTGAAGAGGCTCTAGACATATCAGTTGACATCGGTGTTCGTATGGAGGCAGTCGAAGAGGGTCATTCCACGGCAGGTTCCGCAAAACAAATCTGATGAAATAACGTTGAACTCTTTCTAGCCGGTCAGTATCAGCATGATAAGGAGCCCATACTTGAACTCCGTATTCAAGAATACTGCGCACCAGGGAGGAGTACAGCACTTTCAGTGCGTGAATATCACTGAATTCGGCACAGCTTCGGCGAATAGAACCAAGGACGGCAAAAGCTTTGCCTGTAGATTTGAAGACATACTTCAAATCTCCGCGTACATCGTACGGGTTAGGCAAAAGGTGTGCGTTTGACTTTGTACTGTCGCATTAATGGTCCTTCGCTCATTTTCAACTTCGATTCAATTTTCTAACTGCCGTACTCTAACGGAACTATCTACCTGCGCTCTTCTAAAGACCATTTTCTAGCTAATAAATTATCACACTAAAGCTTCATGTTAGATAGCATTTCCAACCGACTCCTCCCTTCGTTGAAATTCAGCTTATTATCCACCGTCATTCCTAGGTCATTAATAGAATCAGCTCGTTCAAGATCTTCTGAATTGATCGAGTAGTAGAAGGTTACCTGTTCACGGGTTCTATTGAAGCTTATAACCTTGCATTTTATAGCGTCCAGCTCCATAGCATTGAAAAGACCCCAGTTAGATACAGTTTCAAGGTCTTGTTGTAGAGCAGTGCATTCAGTCATACACCGGATGATACTGAAAACTTTTAAGTCATCGGCGTACATAAGCCGGCGCGATTGTAACGGGTAACATAAATCATTAACGAAAAGAATAAAAATTAACGGACCAGCGTGCCTTCCTTGTGGTACACCAGATGGCATCTTGTAGCTTCCGCTAACGTACGACATGAGGTTTGTGATGGTTGAACGGTTCCTCACAAAACCATGCTGGAATTCGGAGGCTGAGCGGCTGTATACATTTTGTCGTGAATAATCGATTCTAAGATCTTTGAGATGTAGCACAGAATCGAAATAGGACGATAATTTTCCACGCAGTGAGTGCCCTGCCAGTTTCCAGGCATTAGAAAAGACTCCCTCCGACAGAAAAAGGTTGAATAAACAGCCTACAGAAAGCACATTGGCATATCGTTTGAAAAACGCAGAAGGAAGCTTGTCTGGTCCAGGAACCTTCGACGATTCAATAGAGCTCAGAGCGTTTTCAAATATTTTCTTGAACTTTTTCACTACACTGCGAATAGTCCTCTCGGTAGGACGATTATTGCAATGGTAAAATTGGCGAAGCGCTCGGAACGTTGCTCACAAAGAACACTTACTTTGATAAAACAATTTAATCATTTGCACGTGCTGTTGGGACGCTATAACTCTCCATGGTAATTTGGCAAGACACACTGAATAAATGACAGCTAATTTGACACCTGTAGTATTACAAATATGGACGCAATGAACAGTCAAAGTTTTGAAATCCCTTATGAAGTTCTTTGATTTTAAATGAATTCAATTTTCCTAAAATAAATGCAACACCCCATAAATTATCAGATCGAATTCTTCAACTAATCTTTCATGGTGTTTTAAGTGTTTTCCTGATTTTATTCGAATTGCCCGAAAGATCTGTGAACTTCTTTAAAATACTCTAGACTTCCAAATTTATTTCCGTATTTTGTAAATGTTCCCACTTTTCTTCTTTAGTTCTCCTTGAAAGTTTCTGCAGTTTTCCTGACTCTCTAGGAAGTTAGTCACTATGCCACCTTGTGGCTGTGCTGATTGTGTTTCTTGTGTGTTTTTGGGTGTCGGAGGGTGTTCTTTTATGTCGATCGAGCTGTAATAACATCTGTTCGGGAGTGAGCCTAACAACTCAACCTTGGATTCTGTTGGTCACTCAAAGTCAATCACAACACCCCCCGCCCTTTCTCTCACTCACTTCTTTTTTTCCTTTTCTTCGCATTTCAAGCTTATTGCGTGCTTATTGCGTGCTCTCAACTTAGTGTTCTAGATGCACTTTCACAGTTATTAATTGAGAACTTTCGATGCCTGTACCATTTTTGCATTGGTATAATTGTGTGGCAAGTCCAATCATACTTCTATGCCCAGGGAAGTCGAGAAATTTTCCAACCCGAAAAATTCCTAGACCGGACCGGGAATTGAACCCAGCCGCCTCCAGCATGGTCTTGCTTTGTAGCTGCGCCTTTACCGACTGAGCTAAGGGAGGCTCTCTCACTCACCTCACCCACTTTATCATCATCACGAACTCTACACTGTGGACTATGGCTACAGTACAGTGTGAGAGTATGGAGGCAATAGAGAGGACTCTCTATGCAATCGGAGGCCGATCGGAATTTGAAGACTAACCACACAGGCAAGGCCTGATAGGACAACCAGTCCAACCTGGGTCCTCAACATCAACAGCCGCCGGGTAGG